AGGAAGCATGCCTCAATTTGGTGGGAACATATTAAGAAGCAGAGAAACAAAGAAGGGAAGTCAAAGATCAGGAGTTGGGATAAGATGAAGAAACTGTTGCAACAAAAATTCTTACCAATTCACTACCGGTAGGAGGCATTTGTTGAATACCATAATCTCAAGCAGAGAGACCTATCAGTTGAACAATATACAACAAAGTTTGATCGTCTGCGGATGCGCTGTGATATCGCAGAGGAGGATGAGCAATTGGTCGCTCGTTACCTAGGAGGACTGCGGACTGAGATCTCAGATGTTGTATACCTGCAACAATATTGGTCATATGAGGACGTGTATCGACTAGCTTTGAAGGTAGAGGAGCAGTGTAAGAGAAAAAGAAGTACTTCAAAATTCCAACCCAGATTTTCTGACAAAGGAAAGTTATCAAGTTCGACAACCAACACTAGTGTTGGGAAGGATCCTTCTAACCCGAAACTAGTAAGCAAAGGAGTAACGACCAATAGTGGAGCTAGCAAGACAGAAACTACGGCAAAGAGGTGCTTCAAATGCCAAGGTTTAGGACACTTCGCTGCTGATTGTCCAAACCGGCAGCATGTTACTCTTGTCAATACGCCAGCTGATGATATAGGCCCCACCTATGATGAGTATGAAGAAGATCAGGTGGATGGAGGGTCTGAAGAAGGTGAATTTATCTATGGTGATGTTGGAGAATCATTGGTTGTTCGGAGGGTTTTGAGTGTTGACGTAGCTGATGATGAGTTGTGGCTCCGACACAATATATTTCACACAAAGTGCACCAGCGGTGGCAAGGTGTGTAGTATGATCATTGATGGGGGAAGCTGCGAGAATGTTGTCTCTAATACCATGGTCGAGAAGTTAGGACTGAAAACTGAGGAACACCCATAACCCTACAAGCTTTCTTGGCTGAAGAAAAGAAGTGAGGTGAAGGTGAACAAGAAGTGCCTCGTGCATTTTTCTATTGGCAAAAAATATACTGATGAGGCGTGGTGCGATGTCATTCCGATGGATGCATGTCATATCTTGTTAGGGAGGCCGTGGCAATTTGATAGGATGACGCGACATGATGGCTTCAAAAACACTTATACTTTCAAGAAGGACGGGTTGACAATTACTTTGGGGCCTTCTGATTTGAGGAATGAGGCAAAGAATAAAATGCTATCCAGAACATATTTCCAAGAAGAAGTTGCTAATGCCGTTGAGGTATTTGCTTGTGTGGTGATGGAAGAGAATTGTAGTGTTTCTGACATTCCTTTGCAGGTCAAGCCATTGTTAGAAGACTTTGCTGATGTGGTTCCTGTGGAAATGCCATCGGGATTGCCACCTATGAAAGACATCCAACATTGCATTGATTTTGTGCCGGGAGCTGTTATTCCCAACAAAGCAGCATATAGGATGAGCCCTAAGGAGCATGAGGAGTTACACAAACAAGTACAGGAGCTACTGAAGAAGGGTGTAGTAAGGGAGAGCATGAGTCCCTGTGCAGTACCTACCTTGTTGGTCCCTAAGAAAGACGGAACCTGGAGGATGTGCGTCGATAGTAGGGCTGTCAATCGGATCACTATCAAGTATCGTTTTCCCATACCTCGCTTTGATGACTTAATTGATCAACTTCATGGGGCAATGGTCTTCTCAAAGATAGACTTGCGAAGCGGTTATCATCAAATCAGAATGCGACCTGGTGATGAGTGGAAGACCGCCTTCAAGACAAGGGATGGGTTATATGAGTGGATGGTTATGCCATTTGGTTTATCTAACGCGCCAAGCACATTCATGCGGTTGATGAATCAGGTTTTTCGACCTTTCATTAGTTCTTTTGTTGTAGTTTATTTTGATGATATCTTGATATATAGCTCCTCTGTTGAGCATCACTTACTACATCTGAGGAAAGTGTTTGAGGCTTTAAGGGAACAGAAGTTGTATGCCAATCTGAAGAAATGTCATTTCTTCACCAATTCTGTGACATTTTTGGGGTATATTATTTCTGTTGATGGTATAAGGATGGATCCAACAAAGGTTGATGCTATTACCAGATGGGAGACGCCTAAGAGCATACATGACATCCGAAGCTTTCATGGTCTAGCCTCTTTCTATAGGAGGTTCATTCAAAATTTCAGCACTATTATAGCACCTGTTACAGATTGTCTGAAAGGAATCAAGTTTGAGTGGACTAAGGAGGCAGAAACAGCATTCCAATTACTAAAGCGGAAGGTAACTGAAGCCCCTGTTCTGGTGCTACCTGATTTTTCTGATGTTTTTGAAGTGCATTGTGATGCTTCTGGTGTTGGCATAGGGGGTGTACTCAGTCAAAAGAATAAACCGATAGCATTCTTCAGTGAGAAGTTAAATGAAGCCAGAAGGAAATATTCTACTTATGACAAGGAATTTTATGCAATAGTTCGGAGCTTGGAGCACTGGAGACACTATCTAATCTCTAAGGAGTTTATCTTGTTTTTTGATCATGAAGCCTTGAAATATATCAATGGTCAGCACAAACTGAATACCAGGCATGCTAAATGGGTGGAGTTCCTTCAAGCTTTCAACTTTGTTATTCAACATAAGGCAGGAGCGCTGAACAAGGTTGCAGATGCACTTAGCAGGAAGCACTCATTATTATCCACTATGCAGGTGAAGGTTGTTGGTTTCGATTCCTTCAAGGAGCTGTATGTTGATGATACTGATTTTAGGGATATTTGGGAAACATGCAAGGCAGGGCCTTATCTGCAATTTTTGATAGTTGATGGGTTTCTTTTTAAGGACAACAGACTTTGTATTCCTCATTGTTCACTACGGGAAGCGATCAGCCTCGAGGGACATTCAAGAGGGTTAGCAGGGCACTTTGGTGTTGACAAGACAACAGCTTTAATCTGCGAACACTTCTATTGGCCCCGAATAGAGCGTGATATTGCTAGACTTGTGGAGAGGTGCAGAGTTTGTCACATTGCTAAAACCAAGGGCACTGATGCTGGCTTATACTTACCCCTACCTGTTCCGACTGCACCATGGGAAGATATCAGCCTTGACTTTGTGTTAGGCCTTCCAAGAACCCAACGAAAAAAGGATTCTATCATGGTAGTAGTGGATAGGTTCTCAAAGATGGCTCATTTCATTCCATGTAACAAGACTTTTGATTCTTCGCAGGTAGCTCATTTGTTTTTGCAGGAAGTTGTGAAACTCCATGGTGTACCTAAGACCATCACTTCTGATCGTGATGTGAAGTTTGTAAGCCATTTCTGGCGCACTCTTTGGAGGCTGATGGGGACAAAGCTACAATTCAGTTCATCTCACCACCCCCAAACTGATGGTCAGACCGAAGTTGTGAACAGAAGCTTAGGCAATTTGCTGCGGAGCTTGATTGGAGAGCATCCCAAATAGTGGGACTTGGTGTTATCGCAAGCAGAATTTGCTTACAATAGATCACAGAGTCGCACTATAGGCAAGAGCCCCTTTGAAGTTGTTTATGGGCTTAATCCAACTACCCCTATGGACTTAGCACCATTACCAGCACATAACTATTTCAGTGAAGATGCTGAGGATCACGCCAATCGTATTAAGGAGTTACATTTGCGGGTCCATGATCATATTCAAAAGCAGAACATGAAATACAAGCAACAAGCTGACAAGCATAGGAAGCGAGTTGTTTTCAAGGAAGGTGATTTGGTGTGGATCCACCTTAGGAAGGAACGTTTTCCGGCTAACAGGTTTGGCAAACTTCAGCCTAGAGCTGATGGCCCCTTCAGAGTGCTCGAGAAGATCAACGACAATGCTTACAAGATTGCACTGCCTCGAAAGTACAATGTTTCTGGAACTTTCGATGTTGCAGACTTGTCCCCTTATCAAAATGAAGAGGAGGACCTGGTGTACGAGAGTAACAATGAAGACCCGTTAGATTCGAGGACGAATCTTCTTTTGGCAGGGGAGGATGATGCACCCAAACTGACTCGTTTGGATGGAGCTTTTCCATAAGTTATTTCTTTATTTAGGGATTTTTAATAATTACTAGTTATTTCCCTTTTGTTATTTTAGATTATGTTTGAGTGTGCGTTGATTGTGCGTTATCTCCTTTGATTGCGCATAATTATAGTTATTTCCTTTTTTGTTATTTTATTTTGCCTATTTAAGGCGTGGAGAACCCTATTGTTATTCAGTTATTTTTCGGTTAATAAAAATTAAGAAAAGAGAAATAGTATTTTCTCACAATCCTTGTATTTGTTTTTACTTCTGTTTAGCCAATTGGTTACTGCTCCGGCATTAATCAACCTATCTCTATTAAATGATCCGAAATCCAGCAATTACAGTAAGTAGAAACAGTGAATACAAACTGATAACAGTGACACAAGGAACAGAGCCACAACATCTGAATACAAACTCAAGCAGCAACGGAAATTAAAGACAGTAATTAAATAACAATGTAGAAATATAAACCAAAGATCTCAACTTACCCTCAAAGCCAAAGACCTAGGCCTCAAGAGATCCCTAGAAATCCTTTTCCCCATTCCCAATTCCCATTTCACTCAATACATGCCTCCCTCACTACACACATACTCCTTTTATCTTATACTTTAGGAATATTCTAGAATAATTTTCATAACAAACTAACTAATTGTCTAATTCACTAACTTTCAGCTTCATGGTCCATCAAAAACCAAAGCAAAAACTAGGATCTCTATACTTCTCTACAGATAGCCCTTATTGCTGTTTAAATAACTGTCATGTTGTGGTTTCTACAGTGTTTGCTTATATTAGATTTAAGGAATTCTGAAAATTATATTCATGCAGCAGAACTATCATGCCATTAATCATTGTATGGATTTAGATTCAAAAACAAATTCAGGTATAGAAATACAAAATCAAGAAGTCCTTTACCACTGATTATACAAGTAAATCATTTTCAGCTTTTTCTTATCAGAAACCAATCTTACAAGTTTAGCAATTACAAACAATATCATCAAAAGCAAAGAGAGTAAGATACAACCAGCCTTTAACTTAATTTAGAGACTAAGTACTTACAGTAAATACAGTAACAACCATACAGAAAAGTAATGAAATATCTCAATTTACTCAATCCAACAACAAAAGGCTAAACCACCCAAGCTGCTACTAGTGCTATATATAATCCTAGTAATTGTCTCATAATTTGCATACACAACCAAACTGTTGCTAATCAGTTGTTGAGGAATAAGTGAAGAAAACCAGAGGATTTTAGGGTGTCACAGTTGTGTTTCCGAGTTCATTTTTCTTATGACCAACACATCCTGAGCTGAACAAAGAGGTTATCCAGATATCATCAGATTTTACTGGCTCATCATCCTCATTCCTGTGCCAACTCCAGAATGCATGCGTAGAGTTTACAATCTTTAGCTCACCATGACCGAAACTGGCTTCATGGAATTCTGACCAATTTGGCTGTGGATTTATATACCTGTCAACAAACAAATGATGGGATCATGTAAATGGCAAGATTGATATTAAGAGCAAATTTATGCAGAATGACATATTTTGAATTTTAAAAACAACTTCAATATAGCTTTTTTCTTATTTGGCATAACAAAAGATTCAGATAACAGTTTTATTTATTATGTTTATGGCAGAATCAAACTTACTTAGAAGCTAAGCCTTCTTTGTTCCCTCCATCACCAATAATTATATGGACAGCACCACAACGATCCAATTTTCCATTATATACACGTTTCTGTCAATCAAATTAAGAACTATATAACATCCGAATACCATTAAACAATTCTAACAAAGAAATGAAACTTTAAACCACATAGGCATACTGTGCGTTCATAAGCGTGCACATGACCAGCAATAACTAAATCAACGCTAGCAGCATAAAGCAATGGCTCCATAGCTGCCATCATATCATCCCCTTCGCCTTGATGAGCCGTGTTGCTATTATACCATGGCACATGAAATAACACAAGTAACCAAGGTGTCCTTTTCCTGTCCACCTTTGACAGATCTGCCTGTAGATTACAGACAAGAATGTTAAACCTGTGCACATAAAAATATTAAGAAAGACAGCATAGCCATAGACCGAGGAAGGGGGATTTGTGGCTATCAAGAGGAAGGATTGAAGTGTAAACTGTAAAATCACATGTATATATTTATGGCTGGCATGTTAAGATTAAATAAAGAGATTAAAACTATTATAAAACCCAAAATAACTTTGGAGTGAGTTCCTCTCTTTCTCTTTATATGTACACATGTAATAGGTGACTAAATATAGTGGAGGATATTTCAACTGCACACTGCTTAAGATCTCGAAGATCTGAGTCAAAGACCTGATTCCAGTGCTACAGACTTCTCATTTTTAAGCACATGGTTCACCCAAGCCATATGCAAATACAATGCATGGATCTGTCACTGGAGATTTCGCACTTCAATATGTTATTAGACATGATGAGCAAGTGTAATCACCTAATCAAGGGAAGGAAAATGCAATTATATTTATAGTTTCTTCATAATTTATAGATGTTTTTACATGATTTCATTGATAGATTTCAAGGAAACTAGATGGAAGACAATACGGATGCTAATCATAGCTTTTCAAATGAATCTAAGTCAATGCAACATATAACAAGACATGAGACAACAACTAAGCATTTTCCAAGTAGATAGAGTCGGCTGCACGGATCAATTGACTTCATTGCAAATATTTATAACAAGACAAATGAAAAAAAATGGAAACAAGGACATCATGGAAGTAGAATGTATCAAGATATAAAGACATCTAGAATACAGGATAGACAAAAAAAAGTTCCTTTTTGTTGCAAGCTCAGAGTTATTTACAAGCAATAGTGATATCTTAATACGATGTAATTAGAATTTCCAATGCAATATACATCTATGAATATTCACTTTGGAAAAATACTTTAAAGACAGCATAGCAAAATTTGTGCCATCAAAATGCAAAGCACTTAGAACCAACAAGTCCCCCGCCTTGTGGAAATAATTTTAAATATATATATATAAATGCATTTGTACAACATCAAGGTAAAGATCACTAAACTTCCTATATGTTTGACTTTAAGGTACCAAAAGTCCAAAACCAGGATTTATCCGTCAAGCTATACACAGCATAGATGTCTGCAGATAATATTTAATGACACAAGTGCTAGGATTGCATGGCCAGATATTTCAAAATGGGAATCCTTCTATATGGTTCAGATGAATCATGAGTTAAATATCCCTGGACTGTCACACAGATCAATTCTAATTTTCCCTATATGGATGTGATGCATATTATTCCTAAAGGTGCAACTGCAAATCATTATGTGCTTCTAACTATTACACAGACTGCTTTTCTTCAAAGAAAAGTAGACTGAAATTAAAAAAAAAAATGAAAAAAGAAAACCATGATAACAGAAGGTTTTTTCTTCCATATTTATTACCTCTCCAAGTACTTGCTATTTACAACTGGCAATAGATCCAATTAAACTGATCTGAATGAAGTAACTCTTAGTCAATTGGAGCAACTAACTAACCTTTAGCCATTTATATTGTTCTGAATACTCATCATAATCTGCATAGGAGCCAAGCATGATAATGTGAGCACCTGCAACTTCAAAAGAGTAATAAAGGTTTGAACTTGATCCGCTCTCCTGAAATGGCATTTTCCATCTGGAATTATAGGATACAAACCCATCCTTTAACAAGGGTATGTTCTCCACTTCATGGTTCCCCTGTGTTACCATCCATGGTCTTGCACTAGCAAGTGGCTGCACTAACCTACCAAATGTATCCCATCGATGTTGGATGTAATCAGCATATGCAAGGTCTCCTGGAAGTAGTTGAACATCATATTTACATTGGTCAATGTGATTTAAAGTCGATTTAGTCCAACCGGTTTGACCAAGATCCCCAGCCACAGCAAAAGTAATTGGAAATTGAGCTGGAGGAGTTTTGAGCTGAAACTCAGGACCTTGTCCACCACATCGATAAAAGTACGCAGAATTATGTTCTAAGGGTCCAATTACAGTATGGTGTATCTTTCCTGAGCTATAAAACACATAACTATAAGAGGTAGTCTCTCCTTCAGCCACAAAGTCATATTTTCCTGGCAATGTTCCATATTCTACTTTTGAAGGTGCAGAATCATCATCAGTAATCCACGTAACTCTCATGTGCTTGTCTCCTGCCAAAGAAATGTGTACCTGGAAATTGGAATACACACTTAGCAAAAAAGAATCTGAAACTAAATGGGTGATAAAGAGTAACATACTTAAAAAAGGTTCATATAATTGCTTAAGCAAACAGTCATGGTTCACACTTCAGAGAATAATTGTCAACCGGCAAATAATTCACTTGGAAATATTCTAGTGTGAGAAATGTAAAGTCTCACGTTGGTTAGACATAGACCAATTCAGAACCATATAAGTGCGAAAGACCTATAATTCTACGATCTTAAGTTTTTGGGTCGAAATGTAGTATCGAGCTCACTTATTCGGGGCAAGTTGTTTAGCCCATTGATGCATGGATGGATGTCTTCCCTATTTTGGGTTCTGGTGGCCTTACGAGTGTATTCTCATAGGCCTGAAGCTGATAATAGGGTGAGGACTTTGTGAATTAGTTAATTGGTAGGATGATGTAAGGGAGCTAGTTAGAGGAGAGAGAAGGGGCATCTGATATAAGAAGGAAGGATTCTGCTCTTGCCTTGTGAATCTTTTTTCAGTTTTCTTATGAATAAAACTGACTCCTTTTTCTAGATAGGAATTGCTTCCTATCAACAAATAACCAATCATTACGAATAGATGTCATTTCAAGATTCCTGACAAGATATCAAAATAAGCACTATAATCCCAAAATCTGAGGATCGAAAAAATTAGAGGATGAAGGTTGCATATCATAACCAGACACAACTCTATATACCTTAGTCGAGAACACAGAAATTGTCATCACAATCAAGAGCAAACAAGTGATTACAACTACAAACTGCTGCTAATCATGGTCATGGAAAGCTGTTCCCAAATTGTGCTTGGTCCAAATTCATCACTAACTAGTCTAACATCATGTCACTCAACCAAAAATAACCACATTCAAGGTAGTGGCTTCGCTGAATTTCACACCTCCCCATAAATCACGATTTCTATTAGCCAAATTCCATTATGGAAAAAGAAAATCAGAAAAAACACTAGAAGAACAAAAAATAGCACTCAATGAGGACAAAGAAATACATTTTTCATACATGCAATTTGCAAAGTAAAGGGAAAATTTTCTACTTTAAGAAAAACCCGAAACATAAACAGTGGATTTTTTTCATTTTTCATTTTTTTTTAACAAGAAACAAAGAACCCAGATTCAGAAACAAAAATACAAAAATGTAACATCGATCAACTAGTAGTAAAACAAAAGGGTATAGAAAAATTGTGATCTTGCATGAATATATCATATTATGAGATGAAGAATGTGACCTGTTGAGGGTAAGAGGAGGACTTTGAATCCCATGGGAGATGTAAGGTTTTTCGAGGTTGGGGTCGAACGTAATCAGTTGTGGCAGTTGCAGACACGACCAACAAAACCGTTAGAATTAGTTTGAGTTCCATGCGTGTGTCAACAAAAACCTCTGCAAATGCTAGAACTGTACGACAACAATGTACTTCAGGCATCTCTGATCAGCGCATCATGATTGACGTCGGTGGATTGTGTTAATTGCATCACTTTTTGTCACTGTGCGTCTAATTTGCGGTAATAATTTCATATAAAAACTAAAAATAGAAGTGCATAAAAGTTATTAATAGTTATTTATAAAACTAAATTATGTCATTTCATGTTAGGGTAAATGAATTGTTATGTCACATGGTGTAACATAACAATTCCTACTTTCACAATTGAGAGGAGAGAGGAAAGAGGAGAAAGAAGAGGATGGGACTCACATTCCATTGTGAGAGTAGGAATGTTGTGTTACATCATCTAACATAACAAACCATTTACCCTTCATATTAATGAGCTAATAAGTTGTTGTATGTGATGACTGGGTTAAAAAATTTGTTACGGGGGAGAGTATGAATGCGATCTTTTATAATATTATTTTTTAGAAAAATTTAAAATTTTAATATCGTGATTCTTTCTTAATCAAATTAGTTGTGAAATGATAAATCGATTGAAATGTTATAAAAAAAAAGTGCTATTGTATTTTTTTTTTCTTTTTTCTTTTATATTTTTTATGTATTTTGTCATGTATGTTCTGAAATAAAATAAAACAATCTTAGATTGAAATTATAAATCGACAGATAATTTAGTAAAATTATGAATTTATATGTTTGTTGTTGTTGGTAAGTTGTCCCTTTCAAAAGTAGTGGGAACATTGGATGGAAGGCATGTCTGTCTCAAATTTAAAGCATGTTCATTCCACTTTATTCTTTAGTTTCCTTTTGCATTAAAAGCATTTAGCAATTGGGCTTAGGCTCCTTCCAATTACTAAAAAAAAAAAAGCATTTAGCAATTCCGGTTGACTATAAGTAGAGTTCTCCTCTCTCCTTTTAGTGAGATAATTTTTTTTTTTAGTAAACTTTTTTTTATATACTTTTTTTAAATCAAACACAAAAAAAAAAATTGGTTAAAGATTATGGAATAAATTATCCTTACCACTTTTTTTTTCTTATCACCTTTTACTATTAATCTTGTTATCATTAAAATCAAATCAAATCAATGACTCTCGCTTGATATTATTTTGTAAATGTTGATTTGATTTTAATTCAAAAATAACAACATTAGTGGTAAGAAAAAAAAAAAGATGATGAGTATAACCTCCTCAAAAATTATATGTCATTTCTTCTATTTTATTATTATTTTTTAACATTTAAAACTCTCAATTTACGCTCTTATTTATTATTATCAATTACAAAATAAAATACACTCATTCCCTAATTATTTTTTAAATAAAATATTTCTTAACTTACTTTATCAATTTTTTTAATTGCTTAATCAAATATTAAACGTAATTAAATGATGATAGCTCAGATGATACATAAAAGCTGAACAGGTGGGGTGAAGCAAGTGTTTGATCCTCCTCGTTATCATAGCAAGTGTTTGATCCTTCCTAGTACCATTTTTTATAGGAGTTTAAAGCTTTAATATGTCGTTACTCTGTCAAAATTATTTTATGAATTCTTTTTACTCTTTTAATTTATTTTTATATTTGGCTTGGTGAATTTCATAAATTTACTTATATTAGACATGAGAATAATCTTGAATCAAGTTTATAGATATTAAATAATTTCTTTGGTACCAAATGAATACTAATGGAATATGTAACCTTTTGCTGAATGATTCTGATGTGACTAACCCACGAGAGGATCAGAATGGTTATAGGGTAAGGGACGTCTTATCATGGCTTCGTCATACAGAACCTTCCACATACAGAATTCACAGAATTTGGATGCTCCAGAATTGAGCATTAGTCATTTTAGTTAAAGATTACACATTCATATATATGTTTGTATCTTAACCCACAAAGTTTGGGTAGAACCCACAGAAGTTTGGGTATGGTTGAATGAAGAACCTACAAAGGTCTGAGCTTATATCTGTTGTTTAGGATATTATTTTTTTATTATAAATTTTATTCTGTGAGAATGATATTTTCCACTAAAGTTGCTGGATTGGTTATAATTCGAAAACTCCAATATTACTGAGATTTATTTCACGTGTGCTTGTTTTTATGCTAACCTTTCTAGAGTAAACAGGCCAGAATGTGTAGCTTTGGAGTAGGGTAAAATACTATGATTAAAGACTTTGAAGATTATATGGAGCTTGGTGGAGCAATTAATAAAAAAAAAATGTTCCTTTTTAGTTTAGATTATGATGTATTTCTTATGTAATAGTGAACTTGACTTCTGTATAATTAAATTTTATGAATATTTTGTCATATGCCTTATTTCATATCCGCTGCGTTAGAATTTCACTTAAGAATTAATGTAATATCCTCTATCTTAGTTAGTTGTAGAGGATGTTACACATATAACTTAAAAAAACGGAAAATAATATCATTGTTGTGGATGTGATGTCCTTCGCAAAAATTAGACTAGAAAAGAGTCAATGAAACTGAAAAAATGAAGACTAAAGATGATCAATTAAACATTTATAGGTATGTTTTTTCTGCAGCGACTGCGGATCTTTTTTTGGTGCAACATACACAGAAAAATGGGATCAACTAATTCTTTTTTAAAAAAAAATAGTTAGGATCCGACGTCGTATCCTGACGTTGTTATGTGTTGTTACGGAAGTATTTTTTTGCAGCGACAAAAGAAGTATATTTCTCAACATTTATTTCTATTAATAAGTTTTGGTGGCAGAAAAGGTGTGGGTGGTTTCCAATTGTAAGATTTAATGACGGGCCCACCGAATTTATTTTGATTCAGGTTATACGCACTACACAATCTTTTGAGATGCATGTCTTGGTGTTCCAATCCCATGAAAAACACTTAACTTAGTATTTTGAATGAGGATTCGTCGTATACTTAAATAATGGGAGGATACTTAATAATAAAAAACAAAAACAAAATGTCTCAACTTCTTCTCTAGAGAGTATTGCCATGTTGCACGATGTGGCCCACCATGAATAGGAATTCAAAAAATAATTTTAGCTCGTGTGTCACCTTATTGAAGATATTAGCGAAGACAAATTAGGGAAATTAATTGATCAACAAATTACATGATTTTCCTTATTGTGGATAAAATAATTAGGCCCAATTATTGTATCATCTTATATTGATATTTTCTCTCCTTAACCATCTCTGAGAGGGGGAGAAAAACTCATTACAGTGGATATAAACCACAATGGTTGAACCACTACACTCAACTTGTGTTTTTTATATTCTTTCTTTTACTCTTTTGCAATTTGGTATCCAATGTATGTTGAAAATCATTAAATCAACTTTATTTTCAAGTGTTCCCAAAATTACCACTGTATTTTTCCCAATTACCTTCCTCTCCCCAGTTTGATAGGTTTTTTCTTTTTTTAGTTTTCCAAAATCAGTCGCCGCCTTCTGTCAAACTCCTAGTGTCGTCCACTGCCACATTGATCAAGCACGTCTCCTTATCCACCTACTGTTGACTAACAACAAGCTCACATCGTCCTTTTGGCAACAAGCTTTTGTCTTTCCTGTTGCAACAAGCTCATGTCGTTAATGTTGGTCTCGTGTCATCAATGTTGGTCTCATTGTCCCATCAGTAGCAAGCTCCCTTCGTCGTCGCTTGTCTACATCAACCGTCCACTGCTTGCACTCCTACCTCGTGCCATCCATCATCGTTGTCGGCCTTTGTTTGTTGCTTCACGACGTTGGATCCTTCTTTATGCCTCTACCTCTATCTATAATTAGGTTGCAAAGTGAAAGGAAGACAATCAGTGTAGGGAGAGTTTGTTCGTTTGCAAAGTGAAGGAAGATAATCAATCGTCATCCTCTCTCCAGTTTACTACCAACGTTCAACCTTGCTACCGGCTTCAACTTTGCTGCTGATGTTCAGTCCTGTCTCGTGCCACTATCAGGTTCCTTATTTCGTTGGTTTTTTATTTTACGAGTTGTTTGTTCAAGTTTTTTGGTTCCATGGCTGCTTTCGATAAGACTGGTGCCCTTGACACTGGATATTTCACCATCATTCTCCTCAATGGTTGTACCTATATGTCTTGGAAGCGTGCTGTCAATATCCCACTTGGCGCCTTCTCCAAAGACCCCCACCTTAGCTCTATCCAAGACAAATGCCTCCTACACTGCGTGGAAGGTATCCAACAATCAAGCAGTACTAGCATGTCTGTTCAACTCGATGAAACCTAATGTCTATGAACTCTTTGCATATTCTGACATTGCCAAGGATCTTTGGGAATCAGTTGCACAACACTTCGGGCATGAACATAATGTCTCTCGCATCTTCAAGCTTCAACAAGAGACTCACACGACCCACTATCTCCCCTCGCATTCGTTCACTAATTACCTTGGCCAATTGAAGAAAAAATGGGATGAGCTTTGACAATATCATCCCAAAGCAGCGGCAGTGACTGACTGTGTGACCCGAGAAGAGAAATATCGGGTGCTTACTATCGTTATTGGTATCAAGTGGGAATATGAGTCTCTCAAGCATCAAATCCAAATGACATCTCTATTTCCATCTTTTACATCTATCTATAACATCATTAACAAGAGGAAACATATTGTTGTGCCATGAAGCCAATATTTCCCATTATTGGTGAATGCACCCGTCACTCTTTTACCCAGGAGACTCCTTTGTTAGGTACAGGTAATTATTCATCAATTATCATGTGTCAATACTCCTCAACAGAATGACATTGCTCATAAGTTGTTACCTCATCAATCGACCACCTAGCAAACAAATATTAGTAAAAATCTCCATTGAAAGTTCTCTATGATTGCAATATTGATCTTTCTTATTTACGAGTCTTTGGTTGTGCAAGCTTTGTTCAACTGCAAAATGCCAACAAACATGAACCTCGTGCCACCAAGTGTATTTTCTTGGGATACTCGACTATCAAAAAGGGATACTAGTGTTATGATGTTGTTGCCAGGAAGTTATATATTTCTCGCGATGTTTATTTTGATGAAATGCCTATGTACTTCGCTTATAGGGATAAAAATTAGGGGGAGACTGAAACTATAACACAACTTGACTTTTCTCCCTGGTCGATTTCAAG